TCCTTTTAATTTAATTTTACACCATTTGGACTCTTCAAAAACATCCTCTCCCTGTACTCTCGCCTGGCTGGCTCTAAGGTCTTGCCTAGCATAGATATCCACACCCCTCTTGCAAGTTTCTTGAGAAAGGTTCGTAAATGTCAGCAATACTGAACTCACATTCCTCTGGGTCAATTCTCCTGTTCTTGTACAACAGTTCTACAACTCCTACAATATCTGGTTGGTGTACTTTCAGTAGTGTTTCAAACTCCTCTCTCTTATCAAGGAACGTGTCAGTATTAGTGTACATGACATTCAAGCCAGAATTTGTTCTCGGCAACGTCTCTGCTCTTAGTAGTAACCCCCCCCCCCATTCTCAGAAGGTGCAGCATTTGCTAAGTACACTGTATTTTGCAGGGTGTGGTTAGAAATGTCATTGCTTACACGGCGCTCACCTCCTCCAGTCTGGTAGGCGGAGCTGGTGCCACCTCCCGGGTGGGGGTTAGAGCGGGTGGAGGGTCCACTGCTGCCCCTTGGCCCTGTGTCGGCACACTTGCTTCCACTACCCTTCCCCTGAATATAACCCATGTACACCCGTCCCCGTTCTTCCTTGACTCCTCCCTCTTCTGCTTCAAGTCCTGCAGGAGCTTTTTGTGCTGTTCCCTCTGCATTACTGTGCGATCTGGGTGAATGAATACACTCTGAGATGCCTCGCTCCTTGCTAAGTTTTTTGCCTGCCAAATAACCTTTCATTTCTCTTCCCCACTTGCTAGTGTGATCCTGTGGGGGCGAGGCTTATGCCCCTGCTTTTGTCCCAGCCTCCTCACATCCTGAGGGGTTGATGGAATCTTCAGAACCTCTGTACAAATATTTGAAACTGCATCTTATCGTGTGTTACCTTACTCACAGTTCCCTCCGCCTGGCTCTCTGGGACTCCAAAAACTATTACAGTACATTGTTCCTGTGCTGGAAACGTTCCTGTTGCTCCTCCTCTCCCCTAACAGTAGGTCCGTTAATTTTCATTTCTTCGACACACTTCTTCAGAGTCCCTAGCTGCTGTAGAACCTGTTCTGATCCTGCATTACTCTCCGCCCCCTCCCGTGGCCCTGCTAATATGTCAGCATAACTCCTCTTAGCAACCATCTCCATTCTATCTGCTACTTCCTCAGTCTTAGCAAGGATCTCTTTCCCAACTTGCTCTAGTTTGGCAACCAGCAGGGCTCCAGCTTCATCTATTTTCGTCCCTAGAGAACTCGTTCCCTTATGGCTTGCAATCGCCTCATTCACCTTGACTATGCAGGCAGGGCAATTCCAGCAACAGCCATCATGCTTTACGGCAGTTTGCAACTTCCTAAATGCCGTAAGGGTCAGGCCTGTATCCTCCATATCTGACGTCTCCCTGCAGTAATCACATATCAAACTCATGGTTGTTGTTGTTGTGGTGGGGGGTGCAGACTGTGTATAGATCTACACCTATTTAAAAAAGTAAAGAGAGAAAAAGAACAGTACTTTGCTGCTCTCTGTTGCCTATAGAGTTGTCTTCTGTGACTGCGTACACTGTATCTCCCTGTGAATGGTGTATTGTAGGCACAGTTTCAGTCCTTGAGAAAGCACACAAACAAAATGAAATTTAAAGTCTCTGTGGCACCTATGACACAACTTGGTTTCAGCTGGCACGGTGCCTTTCCAGCTTGCTTGCCAATATGTATTCACTTTAAGTTATTTACAGCCTCTTCTGGGGTCACTGATGACACTATGAACTGATTTACCTGAAATCACAGTACTACACTCCCTGGTTGACCTTTATCACAGCCGTGACCACAACTCCTTGAAAAAATTAAATAAAAGCTTTGACATATGGCAGTGGTTTTGTGGTTATAGGCTTCGTGACCTTGGCTGTACCTCCAACTCGGTGGAAATTGAGTTTTCAAAAAAACAATCGCGTCTAGCATTAAAAATCCTACATCGATTTGCACTTTCACATTACTAAGACGATCTTGATGTTCTTATGTAATCACTGTCCAATTCCTGCCGCTCAACATCGAAGGCTCAACCCACCTGCCCGCCCTCAAAACAAATGAAAAGCAAATCTGATTAGACCACTGTAGAGTATTCAGTAAGTGTTGTTCATTTCATCAGATTTTTTTTTTATTTAATCTTCCCTCATTTCTTATTTTATTTTTTATATTTTTTAGTACAGTGATCCCTCGGTTAACAAATGCCTCGGTTAACGAAATTTCGGTTAACGATTTACCTTCCATAGGAATATTCAATTCGGTTAACGAAAAAAAATTCGGTGAACGAATTCCTTACAAATTTTTCCCAACATGTTTTCACCTGCTTTCGCCTGCTCACCAGCTGTAGTATTAGTCCACCAATACAGTACAGGTAATCGGTTTTAGGGCTTGAATTCATTACCATTTGAGTAAATATCAAGAAGGTTGTTCTTTTCAATAATTTTCTAATTTTTATATTAAAATTTTTAGTCATTTTAACAATTATTTAACATAATTTAGGCACAGGGAACTAGTTTTTGGCACGCCAAACAGCCACTCAACACACCCAAAATGGCGTCAGTGTGTGTCCCTGCTTAGTGGAGGAAGCTTCTTGCTTGAGACTCTTGAACATAAACTATTTTTATGTTTTTACAGTACAATTATTGGTCATTCTGAAGTTTATTTTACATATTGACAACATATAATACAGTGCAGTGTTGATTTAAAGAAAATAATCTTGAATTACACCAAATGAACTAAAATTTTATGGGTGAAATGGCGGCATGAAGCACGGGGCGATTTCTCTTCCACCCCAATGCCTTCTCTTCTCCCTTCTCCTCCACCCCCATTCCAATTCCCATCATCAACTAGGAGCCTTCTACATGCACACCTCAAAGTATGTGTATTTTACTACATTTATTTTTAGCTTGTATGTAATTTTTGGTGAGCTGTAACCAATTACCCAAAATCCCATTGAAACAATGGTTTCGGTTAACGAACGACCTTCTGGAACGAATTGTGTTCGCTAACCGAGGGACCACTGTACTTCTAGTGACCAGAGCATGTGTTCGCTAACCCAGGGACCACTGTACTTCTAGTGACCAGATCATGTGTTCACTAACCCAGGGACCACTGTACTTCTAGTGACCAGATCATGTGTTCGTTAACCCAGGGACCACTGTACTTCTAGTGACCAGATCATGTGTTCGTTAACCCAGGGACCACTGTACTTCTAGTGACCAGATCATGTGTTCACTAACCCAGGGACCACTGTACTTCTAGTGACCAGAGCATGTGTTCATTAGCCGAGGGACCACTGTACTAGTGACCAGAGCATGTGTTCGCTAACCCAGGGACCACTGTACTTCTAGTGACCAGAGCATGTGTTCGTTAACCGAGGGACCACTGTACTTCTACTGACCAGAGCATGTGTTCGTTAACCGAGGGACCACTGTACTTCTAGTGACCAGAGCATGTGTTCGTTAACCGAGGTACCACTGTACTTCTAGTGACCAGAGCATGTGTTCGTTAACCGAGGGAGCACTGTACTTCTAGTGACCAGAGCATGTGTTCCCTAACCGAGGGACCACTGTACTTTTAGTGACTAGATCATCTCGGAGTCCGAAAAAGGCAAATTCCTATTTATTGAGATCTGATTTATCGAGGTTTTACTTCAATATTTTACCACCTTCAGCAGTGTGGTTTAGATATGTAGATGATGTAATGTGTCTTTGGCCATGTAATGAAGACCTTTCTACCACTACGTACTTAACAACTTAGCCCTCTCGATCAAATTCACACTGGAATTAGAAAGTGACTGTAAATTACCATTCCTAGACTGTCTGATCAGCAGAGTAAGTAACACCTTCAAGTTCAGTATTTATAGGAAATCTACTAATGTGTGTTCATTATTATTCTGCTCACCATAATAGAGTCAAACAGTCAGTATTTTCATCAATGTTTTTATACATGCTCTATGAATATGCAGACCATAATTCATTGATGAGGAATATAAATAAATCATATAATATTGGTTTCAACTTAAAATACCTGAGCTCTTGTATAGACAAATGCCTAAACATCACTAAGAAATCTTTTTATAGGACTGATCCTAACCCTCCCCATGACAATAAGAATCTTTTAGTACCCTGGATTACCATTTAAAAAAAATTTATCTCAAATTCTTCTACAACTGAAAACCTGTAACGTAAATGTAACATTTAGTTACTCATGCACTGTAAAACAAATGGTAATTAAGAACTCCCCCAGCAGTGCAGGTGGCTACATTTACAAGGTTCCTCGCAAGGAATGTAATATGTTCTACTAAGGCCAGACAGGTAAAGATCTTGTAACTAGACATAAACAACATAAATATAGTGTTAGGACAGTCCAAGAATCCAATGCTCTGTTCATTCATATGAGAGATAATAAGCATTGCAACTGACTGGGATAATGCCTTCTCAATACAATATTACCTTGTATAATTCAATTGTCAGTAGGAACATTATAGAATCTAGTCTCATTAAACATACCGAATCTGTCAACATGAATTTGAGTAATGGCATGTACAAACTGGATAATTTTGTGATTAAGAAGATTTGTAACCAGGTGAAAGGGTTGGGTCACCCTACCTTATGACCTGAATATGGTGAACACCTGCTGTCCCTAGGGAATTGATCTCACTCTCCTTTATTGTATATATTAGCCTTGTCAGTAATCACTCCTTAGTCTGTACTCACCACTTAAGATGTGAATCACACAAAAGCTCTATGACTTACCTTTTGTAGTAGTCGAACAATCTTTCATTAATCTGCAAATGGGTAGTAAAAACTTGGTTTTGTGTTAGTGGGGATTCATTGAAAGGATTATTTTCAACGGGGACTTGCTGTACTGTATTTGATAATAGCTCATATTTCAGATTTTACCTTTTTGGGGTTTTCTGTTGACATGCCTCAATCACTGGCTGTTAAAAGCAGAAACAGTGTTAGGCAAATGACAAACCATTAATGGGACTTTGTTCTCCAGAGTACTCCTGGCCGCATGAAGCTTGAGAAGTGGCTGCACTCATCCATGAAGATAGAGATGACAGATGGCCGTACTCTTGTTGGTTCCTTCGTGTGTACTGACAGAGATAATAACATCATCCTTGGATCATGTACAGAGCATCTCAGACCAGATGGTAGGCACCAAACTGATTTAAGCATCCAACAGGAGTGACATACTGCACTTTGTGTACAGGCTGACTTAATGACGAAAACTGAACACTGTTGTTGTCACCATCTGCTTTTATAGAGAATGTTTTCTGCTTGCCATTATTTACTTGTACTGCAAACAGTACAGTACATTGTTTAAAATGTTTCCAGTTTCTCCTCCTTGATTTGGTCATTTAATCTTTTTTCCGTCAATTAACCTGTCCTGAACAATTTCTGAAAGCACTTTTTTCCCTGTCAATTAACCTGTCCTGAACAATTTCTGAAAGCACTTTTTTTCCCTGTCAGTTAACCTGTCCTGAACAAATTCTAAAAGCACTTTTTTCCCTTTCAATTAACCTGTCCTGAACAATTTCTGAAAGCACTTTTTTTCCTGTCAGTTAACCTGTCCAGAACAAATTCTGTTCTTCCCACTTGAAAGGTACATCTTTCTTAAGTAAATCAGTTAAAGGAAGAGCTATTTTTGAAAATCCCTGTATAAAGGAATGATAAAAACCCACCATACCAATGACAGAGCGTACATCATCTGCTGACTTTGGTATAGGATATTTATGGATGACTTCATCTTTGCTAGCATCAACACTAACTCCATCTTGGTCAACCACATGCCCTAAATATTGTATTCTAGGTTGTAAAAACTTACATTGTGACAATTTTAACTTTAAATTAGCATCTTGTAGTTTAGCAAACACATGTTCCAGTCTCACGAGGTGTGAGGAAACGTCTGGAGACATGACAAATATATCATCCAGGTACACTAGGATTTCAGAGCCTAAAATGGATGGAAAAATACTTGTCATCAACCTTGAAAATGAAATCAGGCTACTATGTAGTCCAAAGGGCAAGCATAGGAATTCCCAATGTCCCGAGGGTGTACTGAAGGACTTTCAGGGTCGACTTTCCTCGTCCATTGGCACTTGCCAGAAACCTGATAGCAGGTCCAGGGTTGAAAAAACTTTACTATGACCTAGACTCTTCAACTGATCTCCCAACAAAGGCATCGGGAAATGGTAGGGGATAGTGACTCTGTTAAGATGACGATAGTCTACGCAGGGCCTCCAGGTACCATCTGGCTTTGGGGCAAGTAACAATGGAGAATTCCAAAGTGAATTAGATGCTTGTATTACGCCGGCGGGCAATTGAAAAGGTATGAGGATACAGCTCCTCCCCGACTTACGACGGGGTTAGGGACCCAATTCCAGGTCGTAAGTCGAAAATGCTTAAATAATACATAGAAAATCTAAAATGGGTGTCTCTCTTTCTTCTCAGCACCACAAAACTCTCACTTTTAAGCTTGCCAGCCATTTTAAAGTGAATTACAAACAAAATTTTTTTCTGTGTACTGACATTTGGACTCAAAAATACGTAATTTGACAAAATTTTGGTACGACTGAGGCAGGTTGTAAGTCGAGTAGGACGTTAGTCGGGGAGGAGCTGTAGTCTTAAGACAAACCTGAAAAAGTTCCGAATTGACCCCCCTCACCTGGGAGTCGATTACTCCACATCGTAACGCTTGGAAGAGCACCACACGAGGTGTCAATACTTTCGAGTTAGCCTGACTGCAAACCAAGGAAGACAAGCGCCACCGCCGGAAAGACCCTGCCCCCACCCCTCCCACAGTAGGTGACGCCCTCCACATGTGCAACAAATGTGAAAGACGCTGCGGGTCCTGTATCGGTCTCTTGAGTCACCACAAAACTCACTAACCTTGGTGACATCCCTAATACCTCATATCATTGTATCATAGCTGGATGATCTTCATACTCATTTCCAAGTGAGAGTAAAGTAGTAGTAGTAGTGTGTGTGTGTGTCTACACACACACACACACACACACACATATATATATATATACAATACTACAGGTAAATGAAATAATTGTCTTCAGGACAAACACATAAAGGGATATACATTTCTTTGTACACAAGTAAAAAGCGAAAATGTACCCCCTGGTCCGCAAATGTTATTCGCGGATTTGGCGATTCGAGGCCAATTTGAGAACCTAACCCCAGCAAATTTGGGGAGTCCCCTGTATTACAAAAATATTAAGACAATAGATATTTTTTAAGAGAAGATTTAAAGGAAGGGAGCGTAGTCTTTGCTGGGATGGGTGGGGGTAAGTTGTTTCACACTTTCACACCATGATATTTTATGGAGGCCTGAGACTGAGAGCAGTGCATGGGGTGTGGTCTTAGTAGCTCTGGGTGCCTCAAGTTGTATCTGATTATTCTGGAACTGGAAATAATTATTGTCAATCAAGTGATTGACAGATTCGTAATAAAATAAGGCACAGCAGTAGGTGATAATATCCTCAAATTTTTATATTTTCAATTTAGCACATTGTTAGTGTGATTAGTTTTTTTTCAGTTAAGTCATTGTTCACACAACACTCTTTTGTGCAGTGATCAGGGGTTGTGTTTTTGTAGAGCCAGAGGCCCCCCCATTGTGTGTGACAGTGTATCAGGTGTTGGTAAACAAGATCATAATAGATTTCTTTCATTGCTATAAGTGAGTGACTGTCAAGTGTGATACATGATACCGCACTGTTTATTGACCTTACTGTGAATGGCTTGTATGTGGTTTCTCCAGCTAAGTTTCTTGTCAACAATAACTCCGAGGAATTTAGTATTTTGTTCACTTTTGAGGACTGTATTTCCAAGGTACAGGGGGTCCACATCTGGGAGTATGTTTTTCCTTCTGTGAAAGATCGTGTAGTGGGTTTTTTCAAGGTTTAAGGTCAGTTTATTACATGTTACTCAGATCCTGACTTTAGTCAATTCAATGTTCATAGTTCTCATCAAGGAATGCAGATCCGAGTTGCTAGCATAGAGATTACTATCGTCTGCAAATAAGTTGTATTTTATGAGTGTGCTGGTGTGGAACCTATCGTTTATGTACAACAAAAACATTACTGGTCCGAGAATGGAGCCTTGAGGGATACCATACAAGATTGGCGAGGAGTCAGATTGATGATTATTATAGCAGACATATTGCTGGGATAGGCCCCCAATGCCATAATGTTCAAGCTTTGAAAGGAGGATGGTATGGTCGACAGTATCAAAGGCTTTAGAGAGGTCCAAGAATATACCGACTGTGAACTGACTCTCATCAAAGGAGTTTTAAGATGTCATTAGTAAAGGAGCACTCTCAATTGACCTTCTAGCTCTAAATCCAAACTGAAAGTCTGTAAGGATGTTATTGACCCTGCAGAAGGAATTTAGTCTACTACATGCTAGCTTCTCCAGTATCTTACTTAAGGCTGGGAAGACTGATATGTGGTGGTAATTCTTGGAAAGACTCTTGTCCCCAGATTTTTTATATGCTGGGTGAACTTTAGCGCAATTTTCAGTTTATCCAGAAAGACACCACTAGTGAAGGAGTTACAAATGTGTAGGAAAACAGGTAGTAATAAGTGGGCTACTTTCTTAATGATGCTCAATGGTATATTATCATCGCCTGCTGCTGCATCTTTGAACATTTTCATGATGGTCAGTAATTCATCTGCTGTGACAAGGGAGAGGAACAGCTCATTTTGCTGTCTGTTTTGCAGGTAGGCTCTAGATTCCACATGGTGATCAGGGATACTCTCTGCAAGATTTTTGCCAACATTGATAAAAAAGTCATTAAAGTGGTTGGTAATGGGGGAGGGTTCCGTTACAACTGAATGATTTATCATAAAAGCTGAGTGGGGGGGCCAAAGGCTGTGTGTTCCTGTTCTGATTAGAATTGATTATACCTGTACTCCAGGTTTTCTTACTGTTGCCTGATGTTGACTAGAGCTTATTTGTATAATAGCTATGTCTGGCACTTCTAACTGCTTGAGTTACTCTATTTCTGATACTTTGGTAAGCATCACCGAAAGTTATGGGTTTTTTGCAAATTTTCTTTGTGATATAGGGTTTGGATATAGATACAGGTTTTACTAACTTGGTCTTGAGGGGGAAGCATTTATCAAAGCAGCATTGAAGATGCAAGAGAAGTTGCAACTGTTCACGTTAGGGTTGTCGGAGGCATAGACAAGATCCCAGTTAGCATTCATTAGGTTGTTTTCAAAAGTAGCATGTCGTCAGTGCAGTAGTCTCTGTATTGTACTGAGACTCTACTAGACCTTTCAGGTCTTGTGGCTGTTTTATACATGGCAAAAACTGGGAAGTGATCTGAGATATTGTTATAAATAATTTCAATTGCAAGATTGTTAGGAGTGTTGTTAGTCCAGATATGATCTATCACAGTGGCAGAGGTGGCAGTTACTCTAGTGGGTTTGGTTATTGTGTTGAGGAAGAGCTTAGAATGACAGGTAGCAAGAAGGTCAATTACTGAGGTGTCTGTCTCGGATTTTAATAGATCAAGGTTTCCTTTCAGAGCTTATGATAGTGATAAACTCCAAAAATTTATCAAGAAAGTTCCTTACATTTGTGTGGTCTTCTGTAGGTTATTCCTACTCGGATATTTCGTGTGTCGTTGCGTAATTCAGTGAAAACACTCAACATAAACTCCTCCTGAACCTTTGAATCATCTCTTACAGAAGCGTTATACTTAATATTAACATATAGGGCGACACCACCACTGTGTCGTGACGTGTTGACGCAGTGTCTATTATAATTAGGAATGTTATACAAATGTTGACTATCATTAGTGAGTTTGGTCTCACAGAACCCAAGTACATCAAATTTGTGGGCAATAGAAGATATACACTTAGTTGACCGAGAGCTCGATTTAGCGGAATTTTCCATTTAACGAACGGGTGGCTCAGATTTGTTCAGTAAATCAAGAAAATACTGTAATGATATTATGTTTAAGTTGGGTTAAGTAGAATTTAGCTTTCTGGAGACTGCACCTTGGGGATTTATTAGCTTATGGGAGACCACAACTTCACATACAGATCGCAGGCTAATATTCTAGTCATTTTTCATTTAAAAAAGTGCATCTTATGTGCCATAAAATATGGTACCAGACTAAAGGTGTGTTTTAGCTACTGTGTTCACCAGACAACTTCACAACCTGGATGGTGAAGGTTGGATGCACTGAAAACATCTGTCAGCTCACTTACTCTGAGGCCATACACACAGCCTTTGATCACAAAGTAGAATTTCAGGATTAGTTCTTTGTGTATGCCAGAACAGTGGTGTTACATTTATGATATTTTAGTAGAAATTTTTGTATTATTTTAGTACTATATATGGCGATGTACTCTAACCATTTCTTTGTTTTAGAGGATGGAAGAGAAGAGGAGCCACGAGTCTTGGGGTTGGCTATGATTCCTGGCCGTCATATTGTTTCAATCTGTATCGATGAAGCCTCACAACCCCCACAGCCTCCCACAAGCATGTACACTTAATGTGTTGTGTTGTTATTGAATATCATGATTTTCTACTAAACCAAAACAATGTAAACTGCAGTTTGAAGTTGTGTAAAATGTAAAGAAAGACTGTTTTTGGCCACTATTAATGTATGAGAAGCACATAGGTTGCCCTCCTCAATTGCATGGCGTATGTTACTTGGGAAGACCATGACTGAGGAACCCATTATTAGATGATGGAATAAGGCTTTGGTTCTTAACTTGGGGGCGTGCCAGTCTTTCAGGGTATGGGGGGGGGGGGAATTGAACATTAATGACTGAATATATATTCTCACAAAATAAATTTGTAATTTATACTTTGGCAAGGCAATGTAGGGCACGATAAACTCTTAACTTTATGTAGTGTTGCCAGAGATGTCATTCTATTTCATGGTCCCCCACAAGGGTAATATAAAAAATTTTGTAGGTGAAATTCAGTAATAGAAAGACTAACATAAAATTTTAAATTAAGAAGAAAAAGTAATGTCGGTGTTTGAAAACATATCAGGGCTGCAGTTGTGTTTAACTGGGCTGGGACAGTGTTACTGGAGCCTGGGGTTCCCAATTTATTTTTCAGCTCTTCCTAAATAACTATAAAGATACATTTGCAGATCTCAGATTATTGATGTCCTTATTAAATTTCAAAATTTTTCTCCAAATTTGTCAAACTTTTAGTATTTGGGAGGTAATTTTCTCAATATAAAATTCAATTCATCTGCTCATTATGATTTCAAATTCCTACCAATTTATAAAGATTTGAGTGAAATATTTGCCTGTTTACCCAGAACTTAGTTAGCACGCATTGTTAGTGATTGTTCCTTTTTCTTCCACCTACCTTTGTGAGACAGTCTTGTTACTGTGAAGACTGACGCCCGTATTATTAAACAACATCTTCCCTTGAAGAGGGTCGTCGTGTTTCAACCCGAGTTTTAAACTAAATGAGTCCTGAGGGACTCCGCAGTACTGTACTTAATGGGGTGGTGTGGCGGCAAAATGAACTAATTTCAATAAAATTAATTTATAATATTGGAATTAGTTCATTTTACCGCCACACCACCCCGTTAAATACTGTACTTTGGTGTCCCTCAGGACACATTTAGTTTAAAACTTGGGTTGAAACACGACGACCCTCTTCAAGGGAAGATGTTGTTTAATAATAGGGCGTAAGTATTTAAACAGGCTTGATGTTGAAATTGACATGCTGAGTGCTCATTCTTGCACCTCACCAAGACTTCAAATACTTGTGGAGAAGAATAATTGTCAACCCTTCCATTAATACCAGATGAAATACAATAATAAACGTCTAGAAATTTTATAAAATATGTGTATTGAGTTTTTTTAGTTGGATGTCAAAAGGCAGTTAAGTAGGTGAAAGGTAAGAACCATTGGAATAGGGGATATGTTCCTGGACCATCCAAACTTTACCCCTGAAGACTTACATTTAAACTTTCAATAGACTCTCAGTATTCTGCAGAGATCACACATTGATAAACCTTAGTTCAGTTGGGGAAAAGTTTCATGGTTTGGTTGATAAGGATGGTAAATGTTTAAGAACATTGCCTACAATAAACACTACATGTAAATAATAATAATCCATTGGAAGTAATGTGTTTTTTATTTATCTTTGATGATGATGATGATAGCAGGTTCCATAACCCCTCAGCCAATTTGACACATTTTGACACATGCCTAAAATAATACTTTCACACATGTGACATATGTCTAGATTAGTATTTTGACACAGTTTATCTGATACACACTTCTCATTTTGGGAAATTTTTCTATTACAACTTAATTGATGTCCTGTTTACTGGAACTGGGTTTGTTTGCTTTGTGTGGGACCGTATATACAGGGGCCCCTCAAATTCGCGGGGATTAGGTTCTCAAAATGGCCGCGAATCGCCAAATTCGCGAATAACATTTGCTGACTGGGGGGAGGGGGGGATTTTTATTTGTTTACAAAGAAATGTATATTCCCTTTATGTGTTTGCCCTTAGGACAATTATTTCTTTTACCTGTATTGTAAATATGTGTGTGTGTGTGTGTGTGTGTGTGTAGAGACACACACACACAATACATACAAATAAATAATAATGGGAAAATATTCTCACAAATAATCAGAAAAAAAAAATTATTAAAAATGTTACATTCTTCCCTCAAGTCCTTGCTTTATTTATTAAAGCACTGACTTGAGGGTAGAATGTCACATTTTTAATAAATTTGTTTCCGATTGTATATATGTATTGTATTGTATATATGTGTGTGTGTGTCTACACACACACACACACACATGTTTACAATACACACAAAGGAAATTACTGTCTCTAGAATGAATGGCTCTCTGTCCCAGCCGCAAAAATGACGACAACTTTAAAACTACCCACAGACATTCAAGGGTACATCCAGAGTGTCTTCCATGAATAATAGAGGACCATGAAATAAAAATCCACAAATTGGGGGGAGGGGGGGGCTGTACTAGTAATATCGCCATTAGCCGGAATCCCTCAAACCCGGAACTCTCCAATAGCCCGAATTGAAATTTGCTCGGAATTTTTCTGGAATAATCCCTAAAATCCTGGTTTGGGAACAAATTCCGAGGTTGAAAATCTGGATCATTTTCTGAATATTCGCAACAAAAATCTGGAAAATCTGTCCAAATTTTTATTTCTGGGTCTGGGAGATTATGAAATACAGCTGCTCCCCGACTTACGACGGGGTTAGGGACCTAAATCCAGGTCGTAAGTCAAAAATGCTTAAATAATACATAAAAAATCTAAAATGGGTGTCTCTTTTTCTTCTCAGCACCACAAAACTCACTCTTAAGCTTGCCAGCCATTTTAAAGTGAATTACAAAAATTTTTTTTGTCAGTACACAGCGCAATCACTGACGTTGGGACTCGAAAATACGTAATTTGACAAAATTTTGGTGCGACTGAGGCGGTTGTATGTCCGAGTGGTCGTAAGTAGGGCAGTAACTGCATACAGTAATGCGCAATTACCGGAAAATCTGAGAAAATTGATAGAAAATCACCCCAAACCTTTCTGCTCAGGGCCTGGAGACAAGGGTTCCCTGCGTTACGAAAGATTGCCAGCGAGTGAGCCTTGTGACGTACATCACGGAATCCTCATACATTAACACATTCAAAGTACTTTTTTAGTTGTATCCAGTTGACTAGAATATTGTAATTCACCTTAACCCTCACTAACCACAGAGTTGCCAAGAGGCTCAAGAATGGGAGGGGCGTACCCGGCCTTTAATTTGCAGCTTTCGTTGTCTCAAACAGTATCTTGTTTTCGCGCCTTAGAGTACTTTTTCTAAATCACTTTGGATGGGAGTTTGTCAAACCCTTTTTGGAAACACAAAGTTAGGCTGTGGCATGTACATTGCAGTCAGGCACCCGGGTTTTACTATGGGACCACAGCGGGTCATTTTTCCCGGTCACGTTGCGTGCTCCATCACTTGAGTATCCTATGCAATCTTTGATAGCATTACCACTCTTGTCAAGCAGAGCCTTAGTAGCCTTAAATAATGCTTTGCCTGTAGTTTCAGTGACACATAAGTGCTATGAAAGCAGTTACCATTTTTCTAACAGTATCATCGTAAAATGTAACACACACACACACACACACACACACATAAGTTTTTGTCACTTGACACATCAGTAGACTCGTCATTCCACAGGCAGTATTTCCTGGCATTTATCATTTTCTTCTACAGCTCCTCCTCAAGGGAAGGGGAGATGACACTATTGATCAACATTGAACACTTTCTTTGATACAACCACAAGTTTTCTAGTTTACTTCCTGCACCATTGTTCTTTATCACTTCACTTAAGTGGTTGATAGTTGATACTGAACAGTGACAACTTACAGTAACTGGCAGCTGCAGTTCAGCTTTCTTGAGTGGCTCACTACAGTATGTTCTTGTAGCTTCAAAGGGCCACCTACATGAAACACAGTAGCCCTCGTAAAGCTAACGGCAGATGTGCACATTTTGTGGGCTTTGCCATCAGAATGCACTTCAATTGCAACCTTCCTCGGCTACAGAGTGTTCACTCAGTCCACAAAATGACACTTGAGCATTGTTTCTTGCCTCCATTAGCCATGGGAATTCCTTTTCCCATGCAGCCTATTGCTCTCGTTGGGCCTATATTAAACCTGATTAGATCACACTAATTGTATTAAAGACAATATATACTCAACTTAAAGTGCTAACCATTTGTTTAGGAGTTAACAGAAGAGCAAATATTGCTGGGGCGTTTAGACACAATTGCATAACACAACGTTTAAGAGAAAGTAGAAAATAGAAGAGAAGAGAAAAGGGAGATATGAACAATATATATACAGTCGGCCCTTAACATACGCGGGGGTTACGTAACAGATACCCATGGATGTTAAAAATCCGCGTATATGTGCTGCCCCCCCATGTCCTTATTTACCGTATATACCTGTGTAGTTCCAGTTTTTAAGACCAAATTATTTGGCAAAAAATTGGGGGTCGACCTCTAAACGGGTAATAGTTTCGTTAGGTTGAAAAATATTTACCAGTAACTACCAGTAAACAATGGAAACGATGCACCAACGCACCACCAGCTGTGAGTGTCGGTACAGTTGCCAGGGCAGATCTCTTGCGTCATCATAACAAGCCCAAAGTAGCCAAATCCATGGTATGGTAGCACAGGACGATGTAAAACAAAGTATTCATTTATTAAAGTTTATTTATAGATACTGGACATAAATTTTTGTTCATTACATTTGAAACATCAATCTTTGTTAAATAAATTTGAAACAAAAGAAAACTACAATACCGTGTTTTCATTAAAATATTACATCCCAAGTATATTTTACCTTAACTGTGACTGAATGAATCTATGTACAGTCGACCCTCGTTAATTCGGACCCCCTTTAATCCAGACTTCGGATAATTCGGACAAAACCTGAACAAACTTTTTTTTTTTTTTTTTTTTTTAGATTTTAGGAATATTACCTACGCGGACCTTAAGCTAAAATGCTGGTCCACCCACTGCTGGGATAAAACACCAGCATCTTTTTGGTTAAATGTAACATCACCACTAGTGTGGGGGGGGGATGCAACTTTTAGCTTCAGACATGAAAAATATTTACCATTTACTGCCAGTAAACAATGGAAACGTAAAATATGTACCAATTAGTAATGAAAAGTTGTGCAGTTCCTTCAGCAAATGAAGCTCACCAACTTACAATAGGCTAATTAAACTATAAATATCTATTGTGTTACAATAAATCAGTTTTACCTTGTACAGTATTTCCTGAGTTTTATGTTTTGCCCATCATTTACCATATTCAGAGTACGTTGTAAATATTGTGTACAGTATAGTGTTTTAGAGATGTAAATATTATCGTAACTGCTAACCTATCATGTTGAATAGCAGAACGTAAATGTAATAATTAGCCATAAATTTAGTAAGTTAGCTTAATGATTTATCAATTCATGATTAGTCTAGCCTGCTGTTTCCATGATGACACTTTCTTGTAATATTTCCATTATAATCGTTAATTGTATTCAATAAGAAATATTAAGTTTGTTGGTTTGCTGTAACAGTCGCTTATCCTTAAGTAAGCGTGACTGAAGC